AGCCTTACTCCCATATTCACCTTTTTCTTCCATGCGAGAAAGTTATCATCTCCAAGTTTGATTCCAATGGTCGAATTGGTTGGTTTAATAATCAGCAACTGAACTAAAGGAGCATTAGTTGGTTGAGAGGAAAATGATTCTGGGGAGTTGTTGGTAAGGTGAGTGGTTGACATGTTGACACCATTTACTGATTATCATTTAGTGCATTGGAGCTTCAATCGTTCGGCTCTGATACCATCATCCAGAATTAAGATTCTCAAGATGGAAGGGAAGAAACTTTTTCTCTGTAATACAGAATGATATAGACTTTCATATTGCAAAATGTGTACACATATGCCCCTGCCTACTGCTATTGCAAATGTGCACTACCAAAATTTGTAGGGTACTTTCTTGACGTGCATATTTATTAGTAAAAAAATAGTAGAGATGATTTTTCGAACAACATCATTTATGGCTATCTAGGATTGAGGTTAGCAACAACTTTATAAAGTAAAACAGAGGAATTTAACTTCAATGATATGCAACAGAGGAATTCAATGTCTGTGAACATAAATGTACAAGTAGAGGAGCCAATGTAATATTAATAAATAAGCAATCGATCTAGAGCCGATTTCTCCAGAAGCAGGTCTCCTTATCAACAATAGAAGGGGTATCATCTTGCAGGTAACAAAATACATAAATATTTGAAAAATCATAGCCCAACTAAAGACTGATGACTTCAAGATGAAAATTGCTAACCATAAATATTAATTAAGAAAAAGCACTGTAATGGACAAGCTAGCTTAATATCTTAACCAGTTGAAGCGAAAGGATCTGGGCAAGGGGGAATATTAACTTCGAGAATTCCCTCAAGCATTTGGCTGACTTTTCTCATGGTTGGCCTCAGAGATGAATCTTCTTGAATGCACCAAATGCCAACCATCACAAACCTTTCTAGTCTTTTCTTGTCGATTAAAGCTTCGGTATCACTTCCAACCAACGTCTCTACCCTGCCTTCCTGAAAGCAGTCCCAAACCCAATCGGTAAGAATTGGATTTTCTCCATCTCCAAATTCCAAATCTATCAGGCATCTTCTGCATGTAATGATCTCTAGCAGTAAAACACCGAAGCTATAAACATCAACTTTTGCGGTGACTTGAGTGTTTCTAAACCATTCGGGAGCAACATAGCCTTTTGTACCTCTGATATTAGTGAGGGTGCGACTCTGAT